TTTGGATGAATATTTAAGAGTTAAATGTTCATCTGTTAGCAAAATTTCAAAGAAATACTTACCAAACTGAAAAGTCTTTCTTCATTTTCTTTTTGCTCTCGAAATCTGCACAAATGTATAGCTGCATCGTTAGTATCACATAGAATTCGTTTATACGCTTAACGTATCGTTGTTAAATTTCTACAGTAAAAATTAACAAGAAGAGGTTTCCAACTTAGTTCAGATAGCTTCAAAATTAGATTTTAGTTCAGAATCGATAATTTAACATGCATTAATCTGATAACAATCAATTCGTATTAGATCTTTTTTGTCATCAATTTAGGAATAGAATTGTTAATAAAGTTACCAAAAGTTCTTAGCCTAAGATAATTGCAGCAACAAAAAAGTTTGAAAAAAAATTTTTCTATTTTTTAATTTTTATTAAAAGAGATTTTGTTGCAATTTAAAAAACTTGATAACTGCATTTAATATTAGTCAAATTTTTTAAACAAAAGTTTATAACTTAATTTTTTTTAGTTACAATAGTGTTTTTTTTTTTTTGACTGTCTGCTAATTTGCTGTAGCAATTATTGCAGTTTGATAACCACTATTTTGCTGCTTAATTGGGCAGCAACAACAGGACAACAGAAAAAAGTCGACGTTTAAATGATAGAAATAGATTCTATTCTTTTCTAAAAACACTCTAATCTACGACAAATGTCAATTAAAAATATTTGACAATAAACTGATGCATACAGTTTTATCAACTAAAAAGTTATAAATAAAAAGAAAAAAGAAAGTTTTAAAAATAGAACATAGAAAAGCACTGAACCAAAAGCACAGCTACTGTGAGGCAGAGTCTAATCAGTTATTATTTTAATCAGCTGTAGATTTCAAATTTTTTAGTTTTTATTTACAAATATGACTGAAAAAGAAAGTATTCTACAAAAAAAAAATCTTTTTGAATACTAAAAATGCTAACCAACTGGTTGAACATATGAGACAATTAGTAACAACGTTACTGTTTGACACTGCAACCGCATTAAATAAGCATACTTTTTAAGGAACTGTTCAAATCAGTTTTGTAATATTATATAGGAAATTAATCTTTTATTAATTCAAAATTTAAACTAATACAAATGATGTTTTGTACAAATTGGAAACAATGAGTGCAATTGGAAACAGACAGTAAGTAAAAGATTTTGACAAACAAAATTCTGTTACTGATGCAATTTTTTCTTATTATTTTGTAGTACGCTACACTTTTGTTTAGTAATTGTTCTCTTTTTTTAAATTCATTTTTGTTTAAAATCTTATGTACACACAAAAAAAAAAAAAAAAAATAAACATTAAATCTTTTGGAAAACTTAAATCTTTTATTTTTATTTGTTTTTTTTTTTTCTACTAAAATTTATGATACAATTTTTTCTGTTCATTTCTGTTGTGTTGTCAAAGCAGAAACAAAAAAAAAATTTTTTTTAATAAATTATGCTTTCAGCTGTTGCTGACAAACTTTTCACTATAGAATTATACTTGCAATAGGTTAATTTTTTGCTTTCAAAAAAACCAGAAAAGCAATAAATTAATTTATTGGTCAACTGGGCTTAAAATGTTTAATGAAACATATAACTACAAACAATATTACAAATGAAAGCAGAAGTAGGTTTTATTTTTATTAGAGTTATGCTTGTCTTTTGCAAGCTACAATAAATGTTTCAAATAAAAAAAAAAAAGAAACAATTTTAAAAATGGTTTAATTAATTCTCAAAATTAAAAGGCACACGGTTTAGATTATCTTCCGCTGAACTTAGTTGCCTCAACTCTCCATGTCTTTGATATTCTTCGTTTAAAAACTGCTGCTGCCGCTGAGAGAAACCGCTGGTATCGTATTTTTTAGACTTTTGTACACTGTCTGTTATCCGTATACCCGCAACTCCATTGCGATACCAATGAATATTTGGATCAATTTTAAAACTGTCGTTACTTCTGCGGCTATATGGCATTTCAGGTGCATCATTTTTAATGACGTTCATTTTCTTACTGTTATCATTGTTAGGGCTTTGAAATGCGAAGTTTTTGACGAAATCGGGTAGTTTTGTGGTACTACTACTAGTTTTCGAATCTTCATTATCTTCGTCACTGATTAACCACTCCAAAAGTTTTCTCATCTCTATCACAGCATGCTTCAAAATCTCAAGTTCGTTGTTTAGAACGGAAATTGCATCCTGAGTGTTCTCATTTTGTGCTGTAGATATAGGATGTCTTTCTATGTTATGCACTTCACCGACTGCAAGGCATGCCATAATCTCAACAAATGTTTTCATTTTCAAGCACTCTTTGAAATTTCCTTCTAAAAGTTCGTCATCTTTGCTGTTTATCCTCGCCTGCCCTTCCACTTTTGAGTCTGACACTATTGAGTATGTTCGTGACACTCTTCTTCGCATCGGTTTATCGTGTATTTTCAGCAGCTCCATCCTTTTTGCTAACGAGTTATCATTATCAGAGAGACGAGTTAACAATTCTTCTGGAATTGGTTCTGCATTGTTGTTGTCTGCTAAGTACTCTTCGGTTAATGTGTATTGACCGTTGCTCTTTGGCAATGCGACTGAAAAAGTGACTGCTTAACTTGAGAAGCAAAAAAATACTCGATAACTGCTTTAGTTTTACAACACTGGGAAAAATTATGATTGAAAAGTTTTTATGCAACCTAACAGCACTGAACCTTATGACTATTTTTGAGAATTTTTACAGAGTCTGCTTACGACTTATAGCGTTTTGTCTTTTTTGTACGTGTAATTTGCCTAATATCCAAGTTGTTGACAAGTTTGCGAAAATGTCAAAAAATCTATTTCAGAATTTTAAGCGATTATCTTCTTTGCAAGTATTGTTATTTTTAAAACAGTTGGTTACTGAAAATTGTAGAAAGACTTTAGAAGTAATTTACCTGAGTTTACTGGTTTTCCAAACCCTAAAATCAAGAAAGGCAATATTTTGTGAGTGAGATTCATATCTGGTTATTATATCGAAATCTAAAAGGAAGTCTTAACTATAAATAAAGAAATACCGTTTTCTATCAATGCTTGCTTCTCGAAAAAAAAAGAGAATATTTTTATATTTAGAGCACCAAATTAATTTTTTTACTTTTACCAAGTTTTGATCTAATATTTTTATTTTTTACTCCACGACTTTTTTGATTCTTTGAGCTTTACTTTAAATTTTATTATATTCATTTGAAAATGTTTATTACCTGATCAGGAAGGTGTAATTTTTTTAGCAGCAATAGGTCAACTGAACTCAGGTTCTCTGTCTCTAAACGAAACTACTTCAGTGCATAAAAGTCCATACGATAAATCTTGAAACGTTTCAAATATTATCTTAAGGAAAACGATTATTCAGAGCATTTATAACATCAAACACAGAGTGATAAAAGTCTGAAACGTTACTGATAAAAAATCATTTCTTACTTGTAAGTTAACCATAAAAAAAACTACCGATACCTCTTGCTTACAGTGACTTTTAGTTAGTTTACTAGAATCAGTTGGCTCAACAATTCATAGGGTATCTTCATCTTTCTATGCTTCCTTCTTTCTGTCTCTTTTATCTAGCTTCTACTGCAAGCAGTGCTTAAAATTTTAAATTTCGATTAGTACTTAACCGCTTACTGGAAAGTTTTTTCAAATGACTTTCTTTCGTTTTAAAAAAGAAACTTGAATTGTTTAAAAGTTTCAGAAAAGTAAAAGTACGAAAATTATAAATAAATACCAAAAAAGATAACACTAATCAATAACACAAATAATTGTGCTTTTATGAGGCACATTAGATAACTGAACTGTAAAGTCAATGTTAAAAAAAGCTAAAAAATGGTCAACAAGCATAACCAAAAGAAATTTTGCAGCACAAATGATTTATTAAAAACCAAAATTTTTTGAGCCACTTTTGTTTTGGAAAATCTTTGCTCTTGTAAACCTTTAAAGACTAAATTGATAGATGAACAGTAGAAAACTTTTGTTTTAAATCATAGTGTAGAAAGAAAGTCTGAGTAATTTTGTTTTCAAATAAAGAAAAAAGAAGTATGTAAAATTGAAATATAAAAGAAAAAACAGGTTGAAACTCGTGAGATAAGAATTGCTGGTATATTAGACAACCAACAAACTGTAATCGTTCTTTAAATAACTGTATGAGTTGCCGGTAGATAAAACTTTGTAAAAAAAAAAAAACAAAAAAAAAGCAGAAACACGTTATTAACTGTATAATTCCGGTTGCTCTTAAAAGTTTATTTTTTCAAAAAAAAATTAATGTCCACAACAAGTGGTCAACATGAATTCAGAAGATGATTGTGCTTATACGATTTATTTGCATTAATGAAAGTGAAAACTGTGTAATCGACAAAATTTCTTTGTCATCATTTCACTGATTCTGAAGAAGATGTTGAACAATGAACTAACTAAACAACACTACGGACAAACACTAATCTCGTTGAACAATTGCCGTATTACATTCAGTATATCGGTTTTATAGACATTACCAAAAAAAAAAAAAAAAGCAAACTACATTTGAATAAAGTTTGCTTTAATAATTTTCTGTTGGTGAAATTAAAGTCGTACTAAATTTATGATGTTTAACATATTTCAAGTAGTATTTGTCATTATCATTAGTGTCTGAAAACAATACATCAGAAAGCCAAATTTATCAAAATTTAATAGTTTTTATAATGACTGCTAACTTTTACTTTAGACCAAAACTGTCGAACAATGTTCCATATTTTTAGTTGGATACTTCTTAACAGCTTTAGTTACAAGTAAATCCGCGAACAAATTCTGGTTTTATCTAATAAGTTGAATTTTTATTTTCACACAAGCATTCAGAGATGAACAAATGAATATCAAAAATTTTTGACTTGTTATTGCAACTAACAAAATGGCAATTTTAAAGCTACGGCAGTTTCTAATATTATATTCTCTAAAAAAAAAA